AACTAAACTTCCATCCTATGGCCAGGTAAGAAGAGAGTTCAAAGAAATTAGAGTGACTTCAAGGAGAGAATGAGGTATCACTCTCCTGTTGAATTGTAGAACTTAGCAATGGAACCATACGTGATGAGATGGTTTTAGGAAAGTTTGATATGTGTCCTCAAGAGTTTGAAGATGAAACCAAACATAGCCAGATCAGTCTTGGTACCTGATTCTTGCTTTCAAAATTCTGAAGGCTGTTGAGATAGTTTGTGATGGCAGAGCCAGGAAAGATAAAAGCTGTCAGATTGCACTAGCGCATTTTGGATGAGCAAATATCGTGTAGGTCAAGTAGATGCTATAGATGTAAGAAGCTTGTATCCTCAGCTTGAATCCAGTGGCAGGCAGTTGCAAGAAGTCAGCTGGAGAACAGATTGTCCAGGTTAGAGAATAGGTAGGCACTGAGTTCCAAAGAACTTAACAAATGTGCTCTGACAAAACCGGAATTTGAGAGTCTGTCTCTCAAGAAAGCAAAGGTCATATTACTTAAAAAGCTTTCTGCTCTTTTCATTCTTTCTGCTATAATCTTCCTGTTATTCTTGCTACGATCCTAAGGAAACAATAAACAACAAAAGAAAAAGCGCTGGATAAGCAAGGAACAGTGGCAGAATAGACCACATCTCTTCCTGTTGCATATCAGTTCTGAGCTACAGGGGCCATAGTGAGGAGGGAGAATGTTTTGATTTGGTTATGAGAGTGCAGTTTTGATGTACATTCAACCAGATGTTTTAAAACCTGAAAATACATTTACCCAAGTTAAATTTGTTTAACTGAAAATTTTGTTTAAAAATCTTTTGTAAATTATTACGTACCTGGACATTAGCTGAAGTTACTGTCAAGGAGTGGGGAAAAGATAGCCCAATGATCATGTTTGAAGGCAGTGATGGGGAAGGGGGTTATTTCTTCCTTTGCACCAGTAAGTTCAGACTGACTGATAAACCTCTTAAAGAAGAGTTAGGAAAATCTTAACTAGTACTCATTTGCTTCTTTAGCCATGTTTCTTTCTCAAACATCTTCCTGTTGACAACATTATTTGAAATTTGGTTATATCCTCTTTCTCACATAGTAGGGGTGATCTGTCTTATGTGTGTGTATTTGTATATATACGTATGTATATGTATATACATATATATACATTTTGTCCCTTATGTATGGTAAGAGTATATCCTGAGTTTCTGTCCACTTTTAAAAATCTAGGCGTATCTTATAAAGATCATAAGATAAGATACCTACTTTCAGAAGAAAGTCTTAAGATAATTAAAGGGAAGCGGGAAAACAAACAGAATGGAGTATCCTCAAACTTGGATTTGGATATGACTTCAGTTCATCTCTCCAGGCTAAAACAAATCTCCATTTTCCTCAAATATACTGTTTATTTTCAGGATTGGGATGTTATATTTGTTTGATATCTGTGTGCTTGTATGGATGTATGTGAATGCATTTGTGTTTTGTTGTTATAATTTATGGTTTGTAGAATTAAACTGTACTTTGGGAGATAAGTCCTCCAAAAAGATAGGTGTAAGATTTATTTCTCCTATTGAGTTAAGGAAATAATTTGTTGATTGTTGTTTCCAAATTAATTATAGAGAGGACACGATCATTTCAAAAAGTAAAAGAAATTAAAATTTGCTTCTACTCTGGATGTGAATATATGATGCTTACAGAGAGATCCAGATTATACTAATGAAAAAATGCCTCTAATTCTCTTTAGCTTTATTCATTTCTCTCCCCTCTGTTGCCTCTTCATCAAATAACTATCCCAGGAATTGCCCTGGAAGTATTATGAAATAGATAAACAGAAGTGCAAGGAAACTTTGGGTCCCAAGAGCAAATACCAGTTGGCTGAAAAATGAAAATTGGCACTAGAAAATGAGAGTTGGGTTGTTTGGAAAAAGCAAGAGAGAAAACAAATCAAAGTAGGCTTTTTTTTTTTCAGTAAGATAAAATGAAAATAATCCTCCCACTAAAAATAAAGATAATAAAGCCATACCTTTTTTTTTTTTTTTTTTCCCG